CTCTGAGTCTAAAGCCCAATCGGCCTTCTGCCTCATGGGCTATTGACGCAGAGGCCATTTAGGATAATATTATATCAGCTTCGGGATAGCTCCGGTTCCGTGTAATTTGTGTAACTGATTCTTCGATTCAAATTAGAAAAAAATGGAGTGATAAATGGAAGGCGTTCAGCATTCACTTTAGTCTTTAAGCTGAAATGTTTATTTGACTTTTTATGAACTTATTTTGGCAGATTTTGGCCATGTCAAAAATATAAAGCTTAAGACCTGCAACCAACGTTAATGTTCAATCATGTCAGGAAAAAAAGTATTTACTTTCAAAGACTTCAGTAGAACTTACCCTTAAGCAGGCTAGCTGGGTATAACGTATTTAACTTATTAAATAGATTTGCTTGAATACTTACCTCCCGTGTCTGCCGAGTTTGTTCAGGGAAGCCACTACATGTGTGTATTTATGTTAGAGAGAGTAAGAGTACAAATTTTAGAAATAAAACACACCAGGTTTATCACTCGGTTGTCGCAACTTATGGCGGCGGGGGAGGAACGAGAGAACCCTGGGGACTAGATCTATTCTCCTCACGGTTAGATCAGATTAATAGTCTGTTGAGGGGAGAAAAATAGAGGCATTTTTGGTCCCTTTTGACAAAAGGGACAAACAATCAATTAAGTATACACCTTACTGGGAAGTCTTCGCTATGTACGTTATTAAAGCAGGGTTGAACCAGGATACAATTTCACAAATCGTCACCCCTACCCCCCAAAAGAAAAAGAAATAAAATCCAAAATATGTCCTTCAATTGGAGACAAAGGAAGTTTTAAATTTATTTACCCCTTTTTCTTTTTCATTGCTTGCGGTCAGTCAATTACTTATCATTAATTAAGCCAACAAGATATTAGTATCACATACATTTATTTTCTCATACTTGCGGGACTAGAACCACATGTATCGCAGAACCTAGGAATGGGAATGAAAGGGCGGAAAAGAAATTGGGTAAATGGTGTAAAATTAAATTGAAAATTAAATGATTATTTTAAATAAAACTGAATATCTCATTCTAATGTTTCATATTTTAATAAAAACTCATATTAGCCGGTAAAAAAATTCTACTTTGGAACATTTTAAGTCAGATTCTCAGGCTTTTCTGTCATTGCTCAACACAAAAACCTAGAACTATTTACCGCTTGAATTTCTGGACATGGATCCTCATATTGTTCTAAATCGAGCCTCTCCGTGATGACTGAGAATTTAAAAGGGAAAATGGGGCATAAGATGAACCATTTTAATGTTGGAAAAGGGCATCCAATAGAAGAAGTTAAAGTTATCCTTCACTGCATTAAGAGGCTGTCCACGAGAAAACCATGCAAAGCCATGCAGAAGGTGCTACAGGCTAGATCACAGAAGTGGCTTATATTCTGTGAGTAAGTATACTTGGGTACACTATTTTTAAATATGGTATGATTGGGGTCCAAGCTCCTTTCCTTTGTGTATACGAGGGGGGGGGGGGAGTCCCCTGGGAGACCATTTTTACTGTTATAGAAGGCCGAAATTTCCTGAAGTTTAGTTGCCTTGATCACCAACACTTTACGATGTGAGTGAAAAATGAGTAGCCGGCGGTCGAACTAAATGCTTTAACTTTGACTAGACGTATAAACCAGAAGGACTGAGACTTTTTACTTGTCGTTACCGTGTACTAACCGAAGGGCAATTGAACGCTTTTCTAGAAGCTAGAAAAATATTGCACTTTTGAAATTATTTCTAAAATTTCTCGTAAACCTTACAGTAAATCTAATATGGGTTATGTTAAGAGAATGAGTTTGATTTTTGTTGTACGCTTTCAAAAATCTGGGTATTGTGAAATTATGGACACGTCAGCCTCGGAACTATGACAAACTATGAGCCAACACAATCGTTTTATGAAAAATAGCCAAAAAATATACGGAACAGGATACATAATTGATCGCTCAAAAACACAACATGACATCTCCGGTGAATTAAGGAATGGGTCCTCGTTACATGCGGGGTTTTATGACTTGATCTTGTTTTTTCCAGTATCTTCCTTTATTTTACTCTTAGACCGCTGTGTTTAAGAACAGAACCACTTTGGACCTTAAACACTCCCTTTTTTAGATCACGTGACCAGCCACGCCCATAATTATGCAAAATTTGGACTTTGCAGATTACACCAGTTTACTGAATGTGACCTCAATCGTTTTTCCTTCCATAATATTTCATTTACAGTCAAATAAGCTAAATTAATCGGGGATTTGTGAAATGATCCATTCCTTCGTAATTATTAGATATTTTTCTCTCGTCCCAGTCTCCCTCTTATCAAGAAACGTTATAGTTTACAAAACGTTGATAATTTAAGAAAACCCCGATTAATTCCACAAACTTTGTGTCAATAGTCATTGACAAAAAGTGATTTAAATTACAAGGGTTATTTATAAAGTGGTGTAAATTTGGATTGAAATAAAAAGTCAAAAATGGGTGTGGCAAGTCACGTGACACAGATAATACATTAGTAATAATGAAAAATGAATGCTTATAGGGAGTAGATATTGAATTTAAAATATTAATGCGAAAGGCAAAATCCCTACTAAAACAGACCACCCCCCTCCAAATTTGCAGTGCCCCATTCCTTAATTCACCGGAGGCACTTCAGAAACATACCTCTGTGCCTGAGAAAGGCTAAAGGGAATAATTTTCTCACTGTGATCTCAGTAAATCTTCTTTTTTCGACGAAATGATGTTACTTCGGCTTCGACGTGTACCTGGAGAACAGCCATAACCTGTCTCGTGAATATTTTCCCGCTCGTAGAACGATCAAAAGTAACTTTCATTCCCAAAAAGCTATTTCTTTTGTTTGAAGGATGGAAAACATCTTTTTCGAACGTCTTCATGCGTCTTATGATGCGATAGAAACTACTTCTACAGACATGTGTGCATTTGTTTACCACCATCTTTGTTTCCAGCCCGAAAAACATTTGAATTCATACACGACGTTGTTAAACCTATATTGTAGAAGACAGGGTCGTATTCTGGCTTAACAGTTTCTTCTATGGCTGTAAGTCTAACTTGCTCTTTTTCGAAACAGTCGTCGATACCATGTGGCAATTCGAAGCACCATCGTAACATCAAAGAGTACGTGCCACTCCGTAGTTGCAGGAGAGATATAACCAGTCACCTTCAACGGTTGAAAACATCTCGAGCAAACATCAAAGGTGAATGGCAGCTGATACTCTTGAGAGCTGGGTTATTTGATGAAGATGGTGAAACGCTCACAATCTGTCCCCTGCACAGAGATATTTTTGGTACTATCTGGAATTCAAGTAGACCAGTTACAAAATGCCATCATCCACTTTGTGGCCGAAGCAGGGCTAAGCCTGAAAGAGGGATTTCGTTGGACATTTCAAAAGAGATTCAAGTTTACTGGGGAGTTCTCGTGCCCATTGGATCAGGTATTTGTGAACTGTGTGGTTTACGTACTCAGTTTCCTTCTTTCTTTCTTTCTTTCTTTCTTTTTTTCCAATACTTATTCATTCTGTTCTTTAAATTTTAGGTATATGCATCAGGTGCAGATAATTACATGTAGACGAAAGAGGGAAAAGAGAAACACAAATGTTTCAGGTAAGTATATATTAACCTCAAAAGTGTTTCCGTTGGTCACACGAGTTTTTTGTTTATTTGGAAATTTATCAGCAGAGTCTGAATTATGAGGAAACAACTAAAGTCGCTGTGGTGTCATGGTGTCTTACCATTACTTTTTACAAGAAAATATTGCATTATGCATCAGTCAATTCCAGCAGCGCCCAGCCCCCCGGTCTACTGCAGGGCATTTTCCGCCTCATCAGTCCCGGGGGTGAGGCATTTGCAAATTTTGCGCCGCCCGGGGGCCAAGAATTTATTTGCCAACCCCGGGGCTATTCCCGAGTTTTTGACACGCACGCGGTTTCCTATCAGTACAAGTACAAGCCCCCGGGGGGCTTATATGTGGAGAGGCGATTTAACGGAGGGTTTTTTGCGTTACCGGCTTGGGGAGCTTATATCTGGAGGGGCTTATTTTCGGAATTTTACGGTATAACTACACAGAGGATATTACTGGAAAAAAAAGCAGATTAGCTCATCTGTCAAGGACAGGGGGTTGTAAAGTGTTATGCATGCATTTCGTCATTGCTTATCAAGCGAGAATTACATAGCGCAACTCGGGAGCTGTCGACGTGAATTACCGTTTTTTGGTTAGTGAATCAAATTTCTGTTGATATTATTTGAAGAACACCCTTTCATATTTATAACATATTCACAACATATAACTTTACAGCGCTCTATTAATTCTAATGTCAATAATTGTATATCAATATTAAAACCATAAACTGGTACATGTCTAGTCTGTCTACTCTTTTTCTTCTATTTTCAAATGGAGTTTCTTTCGAAGTTCCTGTAGCAGTAAATAAATGACTGAATCAAAAATAAACATTAACTCTTATTATCATTTAATTACGTCTTTAGGAACAGGCGGCTCCTTTGGATTCAAATCCTACCACTGAATTAAGCGACTTCATAAACGTTAGAGAAAATCGTCTTGTGGATGAGTGTCCGTATGTTTATTTCTACTCATACATTGATTTAACACTTAACATAAACGAGAGATTAGTTCACAGATATTAATCATCTGCTTTGCTCTTTATTTTTCTAGGCTGAAAGTAATGAACATGAAGTGAGCATTGGTAGTCCTCTAAATGAGTCATTGCTAGAAGAAGACATTTCATATGAATGGTGTTCTACTCCATGTGTGAAATCGGGACTGAAAGCTGTGAATGAGTTCATCCGCTCAACTCCTTGTGCTCGTGGTAGGCTAGATCCAGTGGTTCGTCAGTTGACTATACCTTGGAAGGAAGCTGCACCAAGCACACAGAGATATTACAGACAGAAGGGGAAAGAGATCGTTGAAGTGGCTCTGGATTGCCTTGCTCCAGGGAAAGCAATAGAATTACTTTCAGGGTTGATGAAACATATGGAGAAAAAAGAGAAGCAAAAGAGTGTAGATACCGAAGTTACCGAAATATCGCGCCTGATTAAATTGTACGAAGAGGCCAACAGTTGGTTTACTAAAAGGCAAATCCTGTCAGTATTTGTAAACGATTTCTCTAAAGCACAACTTCAGCTGCTTATTCCTGGAGTAAGCATTTGGGCGATAGATGTGGCAAGAAAGCATGCCGCTAAGGTGGGGGTGGGTAAACCAGTGCCACAGATGGAGGCCATTACACGCGCAAGACTGGATCCAAGCAAAGTAGACCATTTTCTAGATATTATCAGCAGACCAAATTTCGTGCAAGATGCTGCGTACGGAACAAAAACGCTAAAATTGTCCAATGGGGAGAAGATGGAGATTCCAAACGTGGTTAGGACAGTTATTGCTTCAAGGATTGTGGACTTATACCAGCAGTACTGTCAGGAAACCGGTTTCCTTTCACATGGGAGGTCAACCCTCTTCATAGCCTGCGTAGCTGGCGGTATTGTGTAGTAGTCGAGTGAGATTTGGCGGCGGAGCCGGGAGAAATACCGCCTGCCAGAGAACCATGATTTTTCGAATGCCGCCCAATTTTGTCACCTTAGCTGCTCCCAATTAAATCAGCCAATCAAAGAGAAACCTGCGATTTGAAACTTCCGATTATTTTCGCGGGAAACAGTTTAGAAATAAGCATTGACAAGCTAAACACGACTCCTAAGCTCGTGATAATGTGAAACGTGACCTTGTGAGTTTGCTTGAACAGAGGTTTTTTTTTACTTTCTCGGCTGTCACGCGAAGGTTACTAGCACTACACAGTGCATGTATCATTCTAAACTTTGACTGAGTAAATCTTTTTTTGCCACACTAGGCTTAACATTAAAATGTCATGAAGCTGGTTTGTTACATGCATACTGAGTAACCATTTCCTGTGGTTTATTCTTCTGTGAGTGTTCCTGATAGGATTTTATCTCAGATGCAGTTGAAAAGTGTTTTAATTTTCTTTGACCTTTGTTTCTTACGGCTAAATAAAGACAATTCCAGCGCATTGAAGTTTAAAGACGCCGTTTCGGCAATTTGGTCATCAATTATGCTCTTTTTAAAGGGGAAACCACAATCACTTACGTCTTTTCCAGTTTGCTATCTGTTCCCTTAATTGGGAAATATATGCGAAGGATCATCTAACATGTCTGACATATGTATGGCCCTCGACCAATCCGTTTTACCGCACACTGGTGTGCGGACTTTTCAAAATACCGGGGTTTTCTGGCAGGCGGTATTTCCACCGCCTCGTCCCTACTCCCTTTTTTGGAACACGGCTCCGCCGCCAAAACTTTAATCTCGCACCCACACAATACCGCCAGCTACGCAGGCTACCCTCTTTAGTGTTTTACAGGTGCGTATCAAAACAAAATCATGGTTCAAAATCAGAAGAAGAGCGAAAAAAGAAAGAATTTTTTTTCTTTTTTAAATTCTGTTATTTCATTTAGATATCACGAAGATATCATTATATGCATTGTAGCTCATTGTGTCATGTTTCTTAGTTTAAACTACTTCTTCGGCTTGGTTAACTGAAAATTACTTTAGCCATATAGGTGGGGATTATAAAAGAGCAAAAGTTCTGGATGAGAAAAGCAGTGAAATTTGAACACGAGGAGAAAAATATAACAAAATGTCATTATTGTATAGACTTGTGCAGCATCACAAAAGAAGTCTTTGGCAGGACTTGACAACATCGATGCAGAGGGATCGCAAGCCTTCGATACACTCGAAGACGTAGTAAACAGGTTAGGAAAGTTAGGTAAGCTCAGGTTGATTTAAGTTTTGTCCCGGGGAGGCCTGTATCTTCCCATTTTGTTTCTATATAATGCTATTTTTCAGTGCACCTTTAACACTCAAACCACCCAACATCCTAGGCCAATTTAATTTTTGGACTTTATATTTCTTCTTTAAGGCTTGTGCGGCTTTATCTTAGATAGTAGTAATTAAAAAAAGGAGTGGTAACATTAGCGTGCCTTTTTAAAGGTAAAAGTTAAGCTTCCTTAAGACAAACTTCAAGATCCGCGTTTCTGAAGAAAGCCAGTGTGCTGATCATTGCCGGGTATTTGCGTTGTCTGACCCTGAAGATCATCTCTGTGAGCATGAGCACACGAAATCATGTCAAAGCTGCGACAATATCAAGAATGTTCTGGACGAAATATAACTTGTATTGTCATCAAGAGACCTTCGCTTCAGGTAAACGATTATTGATACCATGTTCTATAGTCTTCTTCTTTCAAAACCAAAAAACTAAACCTAACCTAAACTTGCAGTCAAAACCAAAGAAAGAAGACAGATTTCTCCCCTAACAGATTTTGTCTTGTTCAGTTTATCGTTAATCGTTTCATCTTACACATGTAAAAAAAATTTCTTCACAGGATATTACGAGGAGATACATAGTAATTTTACCTGATCATGAAGAGTATGTTTTCTAATTGTCATATCTTAATCGCCTTTTTTGCAACTGGAAATGGGTGGCTCAGGTGACTGAAATCTACAGTTGTTTAACTTTGGAAAATATATTTTCCACTGTTATTTTAGCTTCACAGTTTGTCGCCTTTTGGTGTCGCAGTGCATTTATCGTAGCTTCCGATTGGTTCGTTTTACCTATTTAAGATGCTGTTTTCAGTTTGTTCTCTCTCTCTCGATTGCGACCTTAGCACTTTAGAGCTGTTTACTGCTTCGGACGTTTTAGATCTGGCCCGACCCACCCTCCCTTTTCTCAGGTTTCTACGGGTGTTTTTTCATTTTATCTGCTTTTGATACTGCTTTTATTTCATCTGTTTTCAGGCGGTAGAGATGCTTACGTGGACCGCGCGAGGTGCTTTAAATGTCACAAACTCGGAAACTGGGCAAGAGAGTGCACTGCCTCCTGGGATAGCCTACGAAGTGCTTATCGCGGAACCACATTCACCCCAGGATACTCGTACAGCCCCTACAGACCCAGTCACGGAGCCCACACTCAACCCGGTGCAAAGAAGTAATGTTTTTGATGAGGAGGTTGCTGATATCGTTCAGGTACATTGTGATAGCGAATTGTTTGATTTTGAGTTCAGTACTTGTTCGCCGTGCGTCAACGTCAAGGGAAATCTTCGTAGAAACTTCGACTTTTGGAAGCATATTGGAACCCCTAGTTTTATTCTTAACGTTATAGAAAGGGGCTATTTGTTACCTTTCGTTAGTTTTCCGGAACCAGCGGTTTTCAAAAACAACAGATCGTCTCTTTCATATGCCGAGTTTGTTGAGGAGGCTATTCTAGTTTAGTTGAGTCGGGTCGTGTTGTGGAAACTAATGTACCGCCCCGGGTGGTCAACCCCTTGTCCGTATCTGTCCAAGCTAATGGAAAGAAGAGGCTCATTCTTGTTTTACTATACGTCAACAAGTTCCTTCGTAAGTTGTATGTTAAATACGAAGACTGGGTAACAGCTATGTATTGCTTCTCGCGTGGTGCATATATGTTTTTCCTTCGACCTGAAAAGTGGGTACCACCACGTTGAAATTTTTGAGGGCCATCAAACATGTCTTGGTTTTTCCTGGAAGCATTCTTATTCCTATCAAGTGAAGTTTTATGAGTTTACAGTCTAACCTTTCGGATTATCGTCCGCCCCTCACGTGTTCACAAAAATTCTTAAGCCTCTTGAGAAACATTGGTGGCATCAAAGGCATTTGCGTTGCTGTTTTTCTTGACGATGGATGGGGTATTGAAAATTGGATTCTCAAGTGTGCAGTATTGTAGCAGATGCCGTTAGAACCGACCTTTTTAAGGCGGGTTTCGTTACTAACGAGGATAAGTCAGTGTGGATACCTTGCCAGAGGCTTGATTGGTTGGGTATCACTTGGGATAGCGCTCGTGGAACCATTGAAATTGTGGATAGGAGGGTTGCCAAAATAACTAGTACCATTGAAAGTATTATCGACTCCGATTTTGTTCTTCTGCCAGAAGATTGGCCTCTTTTACAGCAGACAATTTATACAGCGTCTGTTTCCGGGAACATTTCTAAGATCATGACTAGGCACTGCATTATGTCTACATTTAGCGCGCAGCACTGGGACTCGAAAGTTAAGATGGTTCCCTATTACAATGAAAGCTATATTTTTGGAAAAGCAACCTAAATTCCATCAAAGTGCGCGATTGGTTTTCTCTTTAATAAGCCACAGCGTTTCCCTTACTCCGATGCCAGCGCCACAGGGTGCTGTTCAGTTATTACCCTTAATGAAGATAGTGTGTGTCACAAGCTTTGGGAGCCTTCAGAATGTTCTAAGAGCTCTACTTGGAGAGAACTTGCAGCCATTGATTTTTCTCTAGAGTCTTTTGCCCCAATTTTAAAGGTTCACTTGTCAAGTGGTTCACTGATAGCCAGACGGCGGCTAGAATTATAGAAGTCGGAAGCATGAAATTGGATTTGCACAGGCTTGCTGTTAAAATTTTTCAGTTTTGCGCAAAGCACTCTATTCGTTTGGAGGTGCAGAGGATCCCACGAACTGAAAATGAGAAGGCGGATTATATCAGTTGCCTTATAGACTTCGATGATTGGCAAATCCCGCATGATCTTTTTCTAAGTTTCTGTTGTTGCTCGCGTTATCCATTATCTGAGCCTACAGATAGCGATGGCTACTCTTGTAGTCCCATTATGGCCTTCGTCCAGTTTTTCGCCTCTTCTGACGAGCAAATATCGGTCGTTCATTAAAAAATACTTTACGCTGAATGCATCCCAAGCTCTCACCCTGGGAAGAAATTTAAGTTCATTCCTTGGTTCTCCTTGTTTTACAGGCGAGGTTCTCGCGCTTAGATTCGAATTTTTGTAGGGATTATCCAGCTTTATTGTCCTTGGAGTAGGTCACTCTGAACTAGCTTTTAGTGCTGGTATTTGCAGGATTTGACACTGGTCATTAGTTGCATGGACAGCTGTGTCCAGGGAAAATGAAACTGGTAATGTGAAGGGACGACTGCGTCCGTTAGAGAAGATTTATGTCGTTTTAGATTTTTGTTAGTAGAACGAGGTTTTGAGTTCTCTCGAGAATGGGAGACCTGTTCACGTATGAAACATTGTGTCCTTTTTTGACACTGGTTCGCGAATCGTAACTCAACCTGCCATTCTAGCCAAGGTTTTTCACAAGGTTGAACTGCGTTGTTCTTGTTCGTTTAGGATATTTACCTCTCTTAATCAAGGCTGTAACTCTGGTTTTGCTGCTTGTTAGGTTATTTCAGTGTCCGACTTGACTCTGTCCTAGACAGGGTGTTTCCTACTTTATATTCGTTTGGCTGTAGTTTATGGGGCCTTTTGGGGATTTAGGGTATACATGTAGTTATTACTCGTTTGTTATTAAGTTTTCTTTGTAGGTTATTCGCTAGGCCTTTGTTTAGGAGCTACTTTACATGCCTGTTTTGCCCCGGGGAGGTTGGTGTAGTTTCTTTCTATTATGCTGCCTGCAGACATTACGTCGTAGGCATGGGGCCTTTAATTAGAATCGCTGTCATCGCTTGCGTCACATTTCCTAGAGCCGCTATCCTGTTGTTGCAAAATTTTGGTGATATAATTTTTTCTTGCAGGTAAAGCATGGATGGTGCTCCCTCCTGCTATTAGGCCGGATTTCAATTCTTTATTTAAATGTTTTTTTAGTTCTAGGGCGGATTCTCCTGTGAAGAAATATCTTAAGGAGATAAAAAAGTTTTTACTGTGGTGTAGGACTCGGAAAATTGCGCTACAGTTGCCATTTTCTTCTTCTGTTGTCACCCTTTATCTAGTTGGCTTAGATCAACAGCTTAGGTCCCCGGCCGCAATGGTTTTGGTCCATGCTGAGCTGAAATGGTTCCATTCCTTTGTTCCTGATGATGGTCCCAATCCTTTGGATAACGCTTGTTGCAAGAACTTGATTGAGTGCGCCAAGAGGACAAGGAGCAATCCAGTTCACAAGAAAAAGCCCGTGGACCCTGCTATCATTAGAAGCATTATTGACAGACATGGCGCTGAGGAAGCATCTTTTAAGGACTTACGTATTGCCGCAATAAGTTCTTTAGGTTTTGCAGGATTTTTTCGTTTTAACGGGTTGGCTAATATTTAGCCAAAACACCTCACGTTTTGTGATGGTTTTGTTAAAACTTTTGTGCCAAGGAGTAAAACGGATGTATATAGAGAGGGCAATTATGTTTATATCGCTAAGTTAGAGAACAAATACTGTCCAGTAGCTATCTTACGTAGGTATATTGAAACACCCAATTTGGATCTGTCTAGTCATTTGCCTTTATTCAGGCCATTAACGAAGAACAAGTCGGGTTATACTCTTAGGAATGGCAAGTTATCCTATACTCGCTGCAGGGAAATATTTAAGACTACTTTGAAAGACTTGAGCTATGACCCCAAGGAATATGGCCTACATAGTCTGCGTTCAGGGGGTGCTACAGCTGTTATCAGTGATGACGCTTTCAAAGCCGTTTCTGAGAGGTTGTTTAAACTTCATGGGCGCTGGAAAACAGACGAGACGAAAGACATGTACGTTTTAGAGAAAGAATGTAATCGTTTGAGTGTGACGAAATATTTAGGTATTTAGCTCATATTTAAATATGATATCTGTTTTTCCTTTACCAATGCTGTAAGATTCCTTTTTATTAAAGTGTTAGGGTTCGAACGCGATCCACCCATATCTGACTTCGCCTGGTTTTTGCGGTTATTTAAGCGGTAAATAATTTACGTTCGTTTGAGCGAAGCGAATTAGAACGTAACAATGCCGCGTTTACATCATTAAACAAAGGATCAGAAAAATAAACGTCAAGAAATTATAATTACAGCTTTGATAACAGAAGGAAACCACCAACTTTTTTATTTTGATTTTTAGATATCAAGACGAAAAGGAGGAACTAAAGCATGACATTAGTAACGCTATAGACAAGATTGAGCGATGGAAGGCCCACATCTTAAGAACAGTACACCAGAACGTAGCAAAGGATAATATCCTCAACAATATGACGCCAGAGCAAGCTTTCATTATCATGGATTGGGCAATGAAATTCCTTCCTTTGAAGTCACGATGATAGGGAAACGCAAGGAGAGTGGTTTGGAAAGAAAGGCCTCTCTTGACATGTCACAGCCGTGATAACAAAACCGACGTAAGATTTTGAGGCATTTTCTACAGGCATATCTTACATCTGACTATGGGCATATCCAA